CGAAGGTCCGATAGACTGAAGGTCCGATAGACCGAAGGTCCGATAGACCGAAGATGTACACGCCATTTCTGTTTCTGTTTTTATAAATATTTCTTTTACTTAATTTCTATTACACTTATAGGGATACATTGCTCTAGGTTCCTCAGATAATATCAGCTAAGACAGGTAAAAATTACGCTTCATAAAAAGTTTTATGGTTCAATATTTATTAGAAATTTTTTTTTTATGTTTTNCGATGAGGTCAATGTCATTAAAGTTGCATGTGATGAGGTCAATGTCATTAAAGTTGCATGTGATAAGGTCAATGTCATTAAAGTTGCATGTGATAAGGTCAATGTCATTAAAGTTGCATGTGATAAGGTCAATGTCATTAAAGTTGCATGCGATGAGGTCAATGTCATTAAAGTTGCATGCGATAAGGTCAATGTCATTAAAGTTGCATGCGATAAGGTCAATGTCATTAAAGTTGCATGTGATAAGGTCAATGTCATTAAAGTTGCATGCGATGAAATCAATGTCATTAAAGTTGCATGCGATGAAATCAATGTCATTAAAGTTGCATGTGACGTTGCGTCGGTGTTGTCGTTACTCGTATCTGCCCTGAGATGGCAATGACGTCACCAGTACACACTCGCAGTCTTTGAATTTAGCCGGGCGTCCGACGCTCGAGACGTGTAGAAATCTCGGCGGGCATGTAAACATTGCAAGCTCACTTTCCCGACGGGCTCCTGCTGTTAAAAACGCATGAAATATAATGGAACTGGCCATTAACTGAAGGTTTTTCATTTAAAATCACGAAGTGTTAACACCGTAAACGAATGGCGTCTAGAAGTTGTCTGGTGTACACTTCTTCACTCGATATTGCAAAAATATTCCTGCAAAATATATGNGTTCAACTTTCCTCACATGTTCCATGTTGTTCAACTTTCCTCACGTGTTCCATGTTGTTCAACTTTCCTCACATGTTCCACGTTGTTGAACTTTCCTCACATGTTCCATGTTGTTCAACTTTCCTTACATGTTTCATGGTGTTCAACTTTCCTCACATGTTCCACATTGTTGTTCAACTTTCCTCACGTGTTCCACGTTGTTGTTCGCAGGCAAAAGAAGGACCAGTCTCACTTCTAGCTCTCACATGTTCCACGTTGTTCAACGTTCCTCACATGTTCCATGTTGTTCAACTTTCCTCACGTGTTCCATGTTGTTCAACGTTCCTCACATGTTCCATGTTGTTGTTCGCAGGCAAAAGAAGGACCAGTCTCACTTCTAGCTCTCACATGTTCCATGTTGTTGTTCAACTTTCCTCGCGTGTTCCACATTGTTCAACGTTCCTCACGTGTTCCACGTTGTTGTTCGCAGGCAAAAGAAGGACCAGTCGCGGTTCCGACTCATCAACACGGACGACTTCGGATCGTGGCCGACGTACCAGAACCCGAGTTACGACGTAAGTGAAGCTGCAATCCGCGACGACGTCCGAAGCTTCGACGTGCCCTACTAGAGGGCGCTAGCGGCGGCGATGGCGGCGGCGCGCTGCCGAGATGTACGTATGGCGGCGGCGGCGGCGGCGGCGGCAGGGTGGCTGTGGCCGGATTTAGACACGTGGCGGCCCCTAGGTAGCCTTCAGTAGTGGATGCGCACCCTACCTTAGAATACTAGAAACTAAAAGGTGACAAGAACAGTCATTTTTACAGTCATTTTTCCAGTCATTTTTCCAGTCATTTTTACAGCCATCTTTACAGTCATTTTTACAGTCATCCATAAAGTAAATTTTTCAAGTAGAAAGAATCTGAATAAGCACGCAAGAAAATCGACGTTGAGATGGATATGACGTTCGATTTGAGATGTTCGTCCGCCGACGTGTCCTGAGCAGTGACAGGAAAACACCCAGTTAGCTGTTTCCACCACTCGCAAACAAATTTCATTTACAGTTTTTCTTACAAAATTTATCTTCGATGAAATATGTGGAAGCCCCTGGTTGTGGAGGCCCCTGGGCCCCCAGCTTGCCCAGTCCTAAATCCGGCCCTGCCGGTGTGATACCCGTCCGATCGGCGGCGGGTTTGAGCTGAAGGACGGCGTGTGTGTTAGTTTTGCGTTCACGAGACCCTGCCGCCCAGGCCGCCGCGGCGCCGCGGTTACCGCGCATTTTAATGTTC